ACATGGCTGGTGGGGATATTTCCTTTTGGCTCTTTCGGCTCAAGATATTTCTGCCATTTGTCACACAGGGTTAGCCTCAACGCTGTGTGACGAGGTATGAAGCTGAACAGGACGAACGGGTTCCTTCTGTTACAGAAGAACAAAGAATAGTTTACTGCACATTATTTAGACCTCCTTCTGCTCCACTTTTGAGGTGTGTTACACGAAGCATTGCTGAGTTTGTATGCTACATAAACAGTGTATTTCTCCATCTGTTATCTGCGGTGAGTCAAGCACAATAAGATGTTGGACTGGAGGAAACCGTGAAGTGAGATGGAGGCGTCGCTAATGAGCTCACACCAAGGCTACAGCTACATGACGCGAGACAGAATCAGATTCATACATAGTCCATGAGGTCTCCTAATTCCTTCATTCCTGGCATCATTAGTCTTGATAGCTTTGGATTTATTTTATTTATTTGTCCAAGTCTTGTGGTAGATGCTGAATATTGATAAGTAAATGAATCAATTTATAGATGATATTACATCCTCAGCGGATGCTCCTGATGGACAGACTGGGTTGTGATTTCAGTGCTTCTAACACCATCAGCCTCCTCTCCCCCCGTGGGAATCAGAGGTTTGGGTTGGAGGTTGTGAGCCCCACAGAGTAGAGCCAAATGAAGTTTGCTGACCTTCTTTGTCAGAGTTAAGAACTTTCCATTCTTATGCAGCTCCATTGATTAATTGATTTGCAATGTCATAGGTGGCATTTGCTGACTCGTATATAACCATTTGCATATCAATGTTTCTGACAATAGGGTTGAACAATAGAGGAGATCCTGGCTAGTTCAAGGTTAAACAAAGCAGAGGATTTCTTACTGCTCTGCAGACAAAGTCTCAGTTTTAACATTATATTTAGAAAGGGACACGGAGGACTTACTATGCAGGAATTGTATGTAATAAAACACTTATTGTAGTATTTAAATTACAAAGTTTGAAGTCAAAATACAGAGTAGCAAGCCTGACAGCATTGGTAAACCCAAGCTTGTTGTATATAATTTACTGGATTATTTTTATATTATTTTTGGGTCACCGGTATACTCTCACCTTTGTCACTGGTAGGAACTGGAGAAGCATACGTAATTATTCCCCTTTTTTATATTCTCTAGATGTCAAGATAACCTGCCAGACAATATAACTGTTGTGTAAGTACCCTTTACCCGACTCCTTGTGACTCTCGCATGGATGCTCCCACTTTGTGAATACATTAGACCTTTTCTCTGTCTCTCCTTTTAAAAATTGAAATGCAGTCAAAAATAAAACCAGAAACTGTTGCAGTCCGTGTATGCCTGCTGTAGTCCACGGTAGCCAAGCTGTGATAGGATAAACAGTCAAAGCCTCTTTCCCCTGTTCATTCACGGGTGGAAGGAGGGAAAGTGGCATGGGATAGCTGAGGACTGTATGGCGCCTGTGATCTACGGGATTACAAGAGTGAGACTGAACGCTGATGAGCATGGTGGTTGTTATGATGTCATTCTGCATGCATCAGAGTCTGCCAGCGACATAAGATGCTCTTAATCATTCATGGCCCTGTCACCACTTGTCTCAGTTTGAGCTAGAGTCATGTGGCACTTTGAGTGCTCGGTTACATAAAGGCTTCGTCACTGGCTGGCACGATGACTGAGGCAATAGTTCTCAACTAAAAGATAATACTTATTACCTCTTTGGGAATATTTAGTGCTCTAACACAAACATGTTCAGCTATATGTGTTTGTTTGTGTTTATTTTGGCAGTTATGTCCTGGTAGTAATCTGTTTTGCTCCACGAGCCTGTAAAAACAGGACTGAGATGGAATTTTGCCCCCAGCTGAACTGAGAGCGTGTGTGGTATGGGCCATACAGGCTAGACTGGAATCCCTGGTCATTAAGTTGACTTTAGCACAACGTATGTACAAACACAGAGCTTCCACTGTATGTTTTTCCTTCTGTCTAGACACTGAACATGTTTGCTTTCATTTATTTATAGTAAGTCTTAGGTGTTGTTCTCCCTGCATTTACAAAACCTAACAAATAAAAGCCCCAGCAAATAATTTTAAACATATGTTCCGATCCATACTTCACCTCCCTTCCCCCAAAATAAATGAAATAAAGAAAATTACAAGATGCAGCACGGTCAAATAATGGAATAGTCCACTCAGTCCTGTATCTAGCAATAATAATAATGATGACTTGAAGGAGGAAACGTCCAAAAGGTTGAGATATTAGATTGTCACATGAAGATTGGAAACCATTGGGAAAAAAACAACTTCACCACTTCAATTGAGTAAATCTACAAAAAAATTCCAAAAATGAAAGAAAAGGAGCCCAAAGTATAATTTGGCTCTACAGTTATTTTTTCTGGGGCTAAGAATTGTGACAACCAATCAAAAAATAATGGGAATATGAATAGTTTTTTGCATTTTCTATTATCTGGAATAAGACACATAGGGATATGAAGTTAATTTCAGTACCTAACATTGATTTTGTAAAAGCATGGCTAGATTTCCCCCAAAAACTGAAAAAAAAAGATTCACACTTTGTGTGAAAGAAAATGTAATACAGCTACAGTTTATATGCAGAGCATTAAAGCACTTTGGGAGATTTTTAAAATGGTCCCTGGGACGTTATTTTGAAACAGTAGAACGACTCCGCCATCCTTCATGATTTATCTTTTAAATAGTACTGAAAGGCTAGAACTGAATGTGACAGGACTGCCTGCAGGCCGTACTTCATCTTTTGTCATGCTCACAATAATGGGGTCTTGATGATCCTGGGGGGGGGGTGGATGTGAAGCTATTCCTCATCAAACACCAGAGGGGCCCCAAAAGACATAAAACGGGCCATTTCCTAGAATGACTTAAGGTGTGAGGTTTGCACCTTTTGATATCTGAGCACCCACTGACATACTTTATGCGGAGGTTGAATGTCTTCAAGTGACAAGGCACATCAAAAGCATTCCCCTTCAGCTCTTGCACTGTGGCAATTGTCTTATTGCCCTGCATGTGGCCACCAGGAAGGGCTAATCCATCTGAATAAGCTGATCTCTCCATGTAGGGGATAAAATCTTTCTCTCTGTCTCCGGCCGGCTTAGAAACAGGAAGCTCCCTCGTAGCCAGTGCTCTGCTGTCCTGATGTTGCCATAGAGAAATACAGAACTATGGGCAGCGGGGAGGAACATATCAGTTGATGAGTTGTCTCGAATGGTCAGTCACACATTCAGTAGCCTGGTTGTGCGGCATAATTAGCTACTGCACAAAGCATGAAGTAATAAAGGGTTTAGCTAATGATAGATCACACTGCATTAATCTAGCCACTATGAGTCAGCTCAGAGGGACTTTGTTGGCATTGGTTTGCTCTGTGCCATAATCTTATAATTTGGCACCCAGTTGCTGTTTAAATAGCTTTCGTAACAGTAAGCCCATTCCTGTTGTCACATACAAGGGTGTGAACTTGAACTCACATTGCCTTTACAACAGAACTTGAAAATAAGCTTTTCAAGTACTATTGTTATTGCATTTGCTCTTTGTTAGCCCTTTCTTTTGTGTCATCTTTTTTTTTTTTTCCGTTTGTTGTGGGGACAGTGCATCTCCCCCATTAGCTATCACTACTGAAGAAACCTTGAATGAAGTTGTTGAATACAGAAGAGAAAACCGTGGCAGTGGATAGAGTTCAGTTCTCTTCGGGTATGATCTCTCTTTTGAAAGAGGAGTGAACAAAAAAAAAAAAAGAGCACCAGCTTTTATCATCTATCAAACCCCCCTCTGTTCCCTCTAGTGCTACAGTTGCCTTTCCAATTGAATGGGTTCTTGTCAGAGATGCAAATGTTTTCATGGGTGACGTTGCTTTGGAATATTGTTGAGCGAAGCCCCCATTCATTCACAGTGGGGATACGCATACAGGCCTGGAGTGTGGGCGTCAGCTCCAGTTTGAAAACACTGAGAATGATGGGATTGCTGTCTGGCTAAAACAATTGAAACCCTTGTTAATGCCAGTAACACATGGAGCTAGTGGACTGTAGCTAGCACATAAGTGGGTGTTTAAACCTCTTCCCAACTCCATTCTGTTTTAAAATCACGTTTCAAGGCTTGAGTCACTTTATGATGCACTGAAAGTTTCTCATTGACGTGTGTTCAGTGAAAAACAGATGAAATGAGACAGCGATAGCCAGAACAGAATATTCAGTTGGAGATGCTCAGATTGAGAGAAAACACAAAGCGCTAGTGGAGGAAACATTGTATCCATTGACGATAGGAAGAAAAGAATGTAGCAGATCTGAACTTTCTGAGCTCCGCTGTAACTCGATCCATGCTGAAGAAATGCTGTTCCACTTCATTCTTTTTTTTTTCTTCTTCTTCATTCTTTTATTCCTGCCAGCTTGAACTGCTCCGGCTCCCAGTATCCTGTGTCTTGCTGGTTATGTAACAGAGGCCTAAATGGGAACTAAAGCGCAGCAGTGACAGCAGACACTGCAGCCACTTGAAAAAAACTGAATGCGATAGCAGCCTATTAGTTTTTAGAGAGAGCTCAAAAATGTACCAGAAGAATTGTACTGGCACTTTTGAATGGGAACTTATCTTGCCATGGTCAGCTTCACATGGGGGTATTATTACTGGTTTTAAGTAAGGTGAGGGTGCTGTAAACTTTGTACCAAAGAGCTTTTCTTCACCATTACATAACACCCTTACAGACTTCTGCACATAAAAGCTTTTTGCTAGTTTAGAACTACTTGAGTGAGACTCATTTTGAAGCAACAAAAGTTTCCATTCTTGCAGATCAGGGTAGAGTTGTCTGATAGTGGGCGGTGAGAAATGAATAGACATAGCTCTTTAGAAAAGCATTCAAAGTGGGATTTTACATTTTCATCTGAATAAGATTGTGTTTGTGTTTGTTATTTATTAATTGCATGTTTCCATACTGACTGCCAAGGTTCCTTGGTTTACATAAGTACTTACGTGGCTTTAATGATCTTTATTCTTCCTCATAGGCTGATCCAACAGTAAGATGAAACCAGAGCTGGAGGACCAGAATGGCTGCACACACTAAACACCTGGAATTATACTTTCTTTGACAACATCTCATACGATTGCCAAAGTATCCTGGAAGGAAGTCCATCGAACTCCTCCAGAACCTAGTTTCATTTCTTTCTGTGGATTATAAGTAAGAGACTGCCATCATGCCGATTCTCAAACAGCTGGTGAACAACTCTAACCAGTCAAAGCGGCGGTCTCGGGCTGACCTGACCGCAGAGATGATAAGCGCTCCGTTGGGGGACTTCCGCCACACCATGCACGTTGGCAGGGGAGGGGATGCCTTCGGGGACACTTCATTTCTCAGCACCCGATCAGGGGAACCCCCCAGGGAGCCGGAAACAAAGCAGGGCTCCCCGGGCCCCAAACCAGGGCTGCTGTCGCGCACCTTCAGAAGCAGCAAGCGCTCTCAGTCAGTAAACCGGGGGGACAAGTATGAGTACATGATGGCGCCTTCTGGTGGCTCGTCCAACTACGTGAAAAATGCCATATCCCTGCCTTACCTCAACGACGAGGACACTAACAGAGGACACCAACTGCCGAAGAGCGTTTCCTCAAGCCCCATGAAGAGGCTGACGGAGATCGAAAGCAGGCCCGTAAACGGAGCAGCAGCGATGGCGACGTTGGACGCGGAGTTCGACGAGCGCAATTTCGGCGAACTCACAGATTTGCCTCCATCCATGCCTAAGGGAGGCGGAATGAAGCACGCCGAGTCTATGATGTCCTTCCACATTGACTTGGGGCCCTCCATGCTCGGGGACATCTTGAGCGTCATGGAAAAGAAGGGCTGGGAGGAGGACGACCTCGGCTACGAAGAAGGCAAGGGTAGCGAGGGCCGCGCGTCACCCTCCCATATTCCCCAGATAGATGATGACGTGGAGGAGCAGGCCCCCGCCAGGCCCCCTCGCAGCATGTACCAGCAGAAGGCCACGGTGGACCCCTACACCCCGGAGCTACACACCAGGAACAACCACCACAACCTGGACAGCTGCTCTGTGTCCAGCTCCGGCTCAGCCCCTGAGGAGAAGGCTCAGTACCACCTCCACGACGGCGACACGGACAGCGCGAAGTACAGTTCGCCCCGCGGGGAGGAAGATTTCACCTTCATGGATGACGACGATGATGATGAGATTCGAGTGTAGGTTAAATCGGTACCACTGCCACCATCAGTCTTGAGGGACACTAATGGAGAAGAACATTGGGAGGCTACCACAAGCTGGGAAAGGCGAGGGAGGGAGTTAGAGGCAGGGCCACATCTGCTTTAAGCTTCTTGTAGATCAATCTAATCTCTGTACACTTTGTTCAACATCATAAATAAAACCAATTAAGCCTTATTCACTGTGCTGTAGCGAGGAGATGTGAGCTGAGTGCAAACAGACTGGCTCACAAGGTGGGACTCTTCAAAGGTTTGGGTTGTTAATTGCTGCACATGTTTGCAACATTAGTCTTATTATTATTGGGAAATTCACCAAGTTCAAATAATACTGGCTACCATGTTCCGACCTTGTCCTTCACAAAGGTGCTTTAACGAAGAGGAAGAGAAAGCAGCAAGCCGCTGGTTACGAGCGTCATACTCGTTTTAATAATTAAAGGGTGGCCATGAGGTTAGAGAACTCTAAACTCAGCTGTCAGTCACATGAATATCACATTTGGAGGTGTGATGTGTGAGGAGAAGGGTGTGCGATGTCACAAACATGGTGTGTGTGTGTACTACAGATTCTGAACAAGGAAGAGGGAAAAGGACAAGAAGTGAAACTGAGATAGCTTTGTGTAATCCCCGTGTGTGTGGGAGTGATCATGGAGCTTCATTTGCCAATGACAATGTTTTGGCATAGACACTAAATAGATAAAGTAGTTATTACTTTTGTCCACTTCTGACTTTAAGGGGTGATCTTTGCTATTTTTTTTACTTTTATTTTTATGTACATACTGTATCTGGAAGTTGGTCTACGGTTGTAGAGTCTGTTGTGTTTTGAGTTTGGTAGTTCATTATATTAGAATCATTTTGCTGCTCTCTCTCTTCGGCAAGGTTTTAATACTTTAAATTCACAGACAGCTGTGGTATTTATTCATTAATTTTTCATAAGGGATGGATCATTCTTAATGCACTGTCTTGATTGATAAGTTTTGATTTGGGGTTTCTGATATGTTTAAGTTCTCACAAAAACGTCTTAATGGTACTACAGAGTGAGCTAGCTTATTTTCCGTGGAGTTTTGCTACATGGCACTTAATTATGCTTAATTATTGGACTCAAGTAGACATAAAACTGTCTGTCACTGTCACGGTAAGACAAATGAAAATGTGAATTGTCAAAAAAAAAAGAGGCCTTTTGTATGTGTTCTGTGTCCTGTACTGTTTTAAACACCAGGACAGACGTGGTGATTGTGGCTAAACGTGTGTCTTTGTGCGCCGTCACATCTTATTCCACATCATTACTGAGGTCGGTAGGGTTAGCAGGTCAGCAGGGAGGCATAAGATTGAAAGGGAGTCGCCGCAGCAGAAAAATGCTTACGGTTAAATTAATAGTTACGGCTCTATCCATCACACCTCGTCTCTTTGGACGTGTTCACGCTTGTCTCTTAGGGAAGAGAAAGGATGTAAAAACATGTACCGAGTGTCATTAGAGCGCAGCTACTTAATAGATGGGCACCAGGTATGTCTTCGGGGCAGTGAGAGCGGCAGATATTACCTGAACTGGCCCCACAAGTGATAATATTCCACTCCTCTACACAACCCCAAATCACACAGTAGGAACAGATGATTAAATCAACCAATCATCTGGCCTTTCCCAGTCTACTCATTAAATGTGCTGGATTATTGGCCCCAGACCAGCTGGAACTGCTCCAGGAACAGCAGGGTCAGGGACAGACAGGTGGGCTGTTTCTCTTTTTCTTTTTGTGTTCAGTTTGCTTTGCAGCGCGGGCTCACTCAGTAGGCTCCTCCAGGTTACTTTCAGTTATAAATAAGGCAGAAGGAGTAGGTGTACTCTCCTCTCTGGTATCCATGATTAATGTCTGACCTTTTTTATTTTGTGTTGGAAAACTAATTGCCACGTTTGACAAATGGGAGCTTTGAATTTCCTGTTGTGGCATTGATGCAGGGGTGTGTACATAGAATCAGGATGCTGTGCCATTCTGCCTTGGGTTGTTTTAAAGTTTTGGAACCGTGTCCACACTACGAGGCTGCAAGAAGTTCTGAAATTAAAAGCAATCTGGACGAAATTGCCAAGTATGTTCTAACCATGTTTTTGGGTAATGTTAGCAGGATGTTGGATTTTGTTTATTGTTTACCTATGTATAGATACGCAGTATGATTTGAGTCAGACCTCTTTCATATTTTGATGTAAATGGCCAAATTGTCATCATGTCTTTTATTTCTATTGATCCAGTGTGCAAAATATTGTTTGTGGATTGTTTGGGCAACTGCAATCCTTCATGTTTATCACTAAGAAATGGACACTTAAAAGAAAAGAACAAAAACACTCCTTATCTGCCGTTGTTTTAATCAAGCTGACATGTTTTAATGTAAATATAATTTGTGCCATCGGTGATTACAGTAAACAATCCTTGTTGTCAGAAGTGTGACGGTGTGTTCATAGCGTGAGAAGCAGAAGAATGTTAGTGGCTCTAACACTTAATAGCACATTTGTGGCCAAATTGTATTTGCAAGTACGATTTAAAGTGTTCCACCAATATGGCAACCCAGACTGGTGGAATTTGGAAGAGGTAAATAGAGAATTATGGAAAAGTATACTAAATTACACTGAAATACTTTCTTGTAATTGTCTTAACTTTCTGGCATTTGTCGTGTTTCTCTGTGGGAAACTGCTATGTAGGCCAGAACAAACCATGTAAAGGAATTTGCAAATACTTTCTGCCTCAGGTCTGTTTAAAAGTTTCCTGTACCCTGACAGAAGTGTTTTGGTGAGTGGCAAAAAAAGATAAGGACTGCGAAACACAACTGGCTCAAAGTTCAGCTGTAGAATGTTTTCTTGTTTTTCTATTCAGTGGCTGTAGTGTTAATGCCAAGTATGTACTGTTTTCCTTTCCTATTTCTTATTCTGGTTTTACAGTATATTAATATATTTACCTTCCTCACTTTCCTGTCTTTGAAATAACAGCTATATTTTTCAATAAAAGAGAAAGCTGGTAATCTTTAACTATGGCTCAGCTGCTTTTGTTTAATCTCTAATAAGTCTGTCACCGCAGGAGGCAGCCTCATTTTCTAAACTCTTTTGCAAGTTTATTCGCATTCTGCTTCCAAAATAGGCAGAACGCTCACTGAAACCTGACCTTCAAGTAGACCCAAGAATTTTTACTGAGGGAGCCGCTGAAAGGGTTCCAGCCACATCCACTGTTTAACAAACACCCACTTGGAGTGGATTATTCTACATAAATAACCCTGAAATGAAAGATAAAATCTTGTTCAACAGATTCCACACTACGGGCAAGATGAGTCTTGTTAGCTAATTAGAGGCCTCCAGACATTGATCTTAACAGGTTCTAGAGCTCGGTTTGATAAAAACATAAAGATGGTTATAAAACGACATACCTTGTGTTTGACGACATGCACGTTTTAAAGACGACATATTACGTTTTTCACATGATTCAATTCATTCTCTGCCTGTGAGGAAGGGGAGGAAACATAGCTTAAATGGTGCATTAATGATGAATCGAGTGAACAGTAGATTAGCTGTACAGATGGAATACATCACAGCTTTTTTTCTTCTCTTGTTTTTCAAGCAAAAAATCCAATTTGTCTAGTGGATGGCCATCTGGGTATGTGATGACATACAGTATTATCTCAATTATTTCCACATTTAACTTACGTGTGTGTTTTCACTGGGTCTGAGCCGACGTTTTGGCACACACATGTCACGTCACACGTGTCTTCTGGACAGTTTTGTATTAGCATCAAGATCTCAAGACTAAGGATATTAGCTGAAGTGGTAATATACCGGCAAAAATACGAGACCAAAGGGAAGAATCATAAAACATATTGCATATTAGGATGTTACATAAAACACACATAATCATCTCAGAGAATATGATGCAATATTAACATATTCAACAGTTTAGAACACTAACTCGGGTCCATTCTCCTGCACAATGAATGCTTTCACTTTTAATACTTTAAGTACATTTTGCTGGTAGTACTTTGGTTTACTTTGGTAAGATTTTAAATACAGAACTTTTACTTGAACTTGTGGAGTGTTTTCAAACTGTGGTACTCCTACTATTAGTGGTGAAGGGTTTGAATAATTTTACCACTCTCCTGAAGCACTGCTGGTTACCCCCAAAGCTAAATACTGAAGGCCTGACAAATTCAATGTAGTTTTATTAAAACGGGTAGCTTTCTCTGTCTGCCTTGCATATCCATGAATCTTAATTGGAAAACTTTCAGTGTGTAAGAAAACAAAAAGAACTTGGGGTTATACTGGGGGACAGGTGTGCTACTATCGCCATCTAGTGTCACGTTTGTGTTAATGCAAGTGAAGCGCCTGGATTGTTTTTCTACGGACCCAACATTCTGGTGAGGATATATTCATGTATTCTTGGCTTAAAATATAAAGGCTTTGATCAAACTACAGAGGGCAGAATCTGTCTAGTGTTCTGGTGCTGTTGCATGCACCAATAATGTTTTCTTTCAGAAGGATGCTAAACATGATGAAAACATTTATTAAACAGATTTGTTGTCTTCATGTGTAATCATATAAATGTGTGGGGAAGTTTACTTTATCGTTTAATTCCACACAAATAATTGATAAATAACTAGGGTTTATATATAATCCAATGTCCCATAATTATAATGCAATATAACATTACATTAAGGCAAAAGGTGGGCATATGTCCAGTCCACTTATTTTCATGGTGTCCACACCGCACCATTGCCATAATGGTGAAATATTTCAGCTCATTATTCTGCCAAACATTCCCTCTTTTCACTTGCTAACACCAGGCTGTGTTGTTGCTGCTGTTGGGGGGGAAAGGGATATTCTGCAAACACAAAGCTCAAGCTTATCCCTGTGACAGGTCTGTAGGACAAACTATTCATGGGTTTTCAATCCTCGTTCTCAGCTACTGTAAAAACAAAACACAAATTCTGCAATGTGAAAGTGTTGTGGGAAATTTAAATTGGCCTGCATCATAATACACTTTTTTTGTCTGTAAATGCTCTTTATAAAAAAAACATCCTCTGAGTGGGATTAAAGTGTGCAAGAGAAAGCCAACTCAAATCACCAATTTTCACTACTTCAACTCAAGCACAACTTTCTGACATTATTCTTTACAATTCTGGTTTACATTCAAAATGCATGAACATGTACCGGTATGTAGCTGTAACATCAATGTCAAGTAAATATATATATAGAATAATTGTGTATTTTGGTCATAATGCTACTATTTTTGTCCCTTTTCATAATCGCTCAGAGATAGTCACTCCAGTATTTTCTCTTTTTTTGAATTGTCAGAATCAAGAACACCGTTCATTTTTTCCCATTTATATCCTCCAAAACTAAAGCCACCAAATGCTTCCTAATCACCAATAACACTAATATCCTACCCTCATGGCTTGTCATTCACACAATACAGCAAAAGGCATACAAAATTTATTTTGCATGGACAGCTAAGAGGATTTCCAAATTGTGTTTTCAGTAATGCCTTTCCCTTTGTTTCAGTCTGGAGGAGGACAAATAGCTGGATCAGAATGGTGACTCACTGGAGCGACCACGTGGGACAGTCAGTGTTGCTGCCAGTGAGATGAAATATCCTACTGAAAAATTAATGTCTGTGTGCTATGCTGTAAATATTTCCCCCGTTTTTCCTTTTGTTAGATGTTCTCCGTCTACTTTACAGTGTGGTGTCTTATGTATCTGTTGAATGTCTGAATGAATCAGCCAAAGGGCCGCACGATCGTGCAGCTGCTTATATTCAAAAACTCTTTGAAGTGCTGTTCCACAATTATTGGTTGTTGTTGGATAATAAAGTTTAGGAGTGAAGGACCTAAAAAATCTGTAGCTATGCAGGGTTTTTAATTTTCAGTTGTTTAAGGTTCTGTGATCATCAGACCTGCTTATTGGGGAGACCAGTGACTTCATTGTGATCATGAAGCCATTCTCGAGTTGTGAAATGTGTCACAATATATGACTATCTGTACAGTCTCTATCTGTACATTAGGTTTAGAAGGTCTTGTAAAGCTGGCTTACAATGCAGAGCAACCATTAATGCATTAATCACAGAGATGTGTGATTTCAAGAGAGGATTTGGTCTTCTTATTTCTGAGGTTGGAATTTTTACCATGTTTACCAAAGCCTAGCCCATAGTGAGCTTTGACCATATCAGTGAAGTTTGTCACTGTTGGCATATTGTTTGGATTTACCAGACAGATCCCTTTTAGGTATTTTAGACCTATACCTTTTTATATTACAGTCTCAGTGATCCCATTTTCAATTAATAGATATTACAGGCATCTATTTTACTTTAATTTATATATTTAAATTGTGACTAGGATCAAAGACAATTGTTTGACATTTGAACGACATTTCTTACTCAGTTTTAAATGAAAGTTAACAACATGAAATATTAGAAAACAAAACAAATTATTATTATTTAAATTGCTCTTTAGTTCTGTATTTTTTAAGTTTGTTGTCATTAAAATGAAAAGAAGACAAAAAAGGTGATGTTTACAATGCTATTTATGACCAGTAGATGGAGCCAGTGCTTCTTGTCCATCAACATTTATTCATTCCCTGACAGACGAGGAATAGTCTTCAACCACTACTATGACTGAGTAGAGGTTCATATAAAGCATGACACCACACATGCATGCATTCATGTGTAACTTGTGTTGATATTACTTTCTCCAAGACAAGCATTCGAATCTGTCGGGATGCAGTCTGAGGTCTACAGCCAGTGTTGACTTTCGAGACTGCTGATTCATCCCTAGCATTATACTTTCTTTGACGGTGTGATTACTGCGATTAACAAAGATTAATAGATTAATAGATTATCAAAGCACCAGAGATGTTAGTTCGTTTCAGCTGTTACACCCTCATTATAATTCTTTACGTGACCTGGAAAGTCTTTGTGAAAACATTTCGTGTTCTCACAAACATTTTTCAAAACCAAATGATGAAATGAAAGGCTCTATGTGTCAGTTTTTAGTTTTGTTGGCATTCCAGGCGTAATTCTTTCATCTAACCCCTTTTTGCTGTTATTGGAGCAAAAGCACAGGCATTTTCTAGGACATCATATTTTTTCAGCCATTTATGATTAAATAATTGTTTCCAGGTCTTCTATTGTGGTGGTGATCTTTGCTGTCAGAATGCACATGTTCACACCACTGCATCTGCTCTTGGCAGAAATATACACTTGAATATCAGCTATTTACACAAACATGCAGACAGATTGGTATTTGTTTTACATAAACTATCACGTGTGTGAAATGAAACAGCTGTGAAGGACTTAATGGAATGCAAACTATGAGCTGTTTATAATAAGAAAAAATCACTGATCCTGTAAAAGGTTTAATTCAACTTTTACTCTTCATATCACTGGGTTTCTAAGGACCTTTTGTTAAAAACGGATACAAAACTGATACATACTGTAATGTTTTGCTTGTATAATCAATCTATGCTATATCAATCAAAAGTACTTTAAATGCCTCTTTTATATATTTATTTTACAATTATATGACAGTCCTCGTCTTTACAATCAACGCATTTTGCTATTCTTCTCACAACTGATTTGGGAAAGGCTGACTTTAACATGAATTTGGCCCTTGGTGGGTTGCAATTTTGCTGGGTTGGGATTACAGTTCATGTGTTTCTGGAGTGTTTCTTGAGGAGAACCCTTTTATGTCGAGTCCTTTAATGTAGCATCACTTAAATGCCCCTTTGAACAAACAGTGAAAATCTTTGCCAGACTTATCAACAATCATTTCTTCCTTTGTTTAGTCTGAGCAGGCATGTAGTCCTTGTAATCCACCATTCTCTCCTTGACAGAATTGTATTCACGTGCAAGCCATAAAGGAGAATTGTGTACATTGTGTAATTCATGTGCACACAAAACAGTGAAAAAAACAAGTTGGAATGACTGGACTAGGACTTGGTCAGCTATTTTTGGCTCATGTTGAGCTTCCCTGAGATTATTGCCTGCATGT